TTAAATTAAATTAAAAATAGAAATTAGATTGAATTAAATTAATTAAATTAAATTAAATTAAATTATTTATTTAACACTCACCTCTGTGCTGTCGTTTTCTGCCAACAAATGAATTTCTTTCCTCAGCGCCGAATCGCCACAAGTCCTTTTTGAAAGTCAAATCAAAATAAATAAATAAAATAAAACAAATGAAATAAAATAATTAAATTAAATTAAATTAAATTAAATTAAATTAAATTAAATTAATAAACTGATAAAACGTTTCAAAATTTTATTTTCAACTTCCGGGAGAGCCAAGAGCAAGCTCGCAGTCTTTAAGGCAACAGACAAGGACAGTTTGTGCCACAGCAAGAAGCCCGAGGGTTTAGGGTTTAGGGTTTAGAGCCAAGGGCTTAGGGTTTAGGGTTTAGGGCTTAGAGCTTAGGTTTTAGGGTTTAGGGTTTGTTCGGCGTGAGAGGCTTTCTGGCACTGAGACTTTGCAAAAAGATAATGGTTTAGAGCTCAAGCTGTGGGACTCAAAGCTGAACACACGATTTAGGGTTTAGGGTTTAGGGTTTAGGGTTTGGAGGGTCGGTACCTGAGGAGGACTTTTGTGAATTCGTCGTCTGCCGAAATAGTGAGCGTGCTGACTTTGCTGCTCTTCTTACGGCCCCACAAAGAGAAGAACCCTTGCTGCTGCTGCTGCTGCTGCTGCTGCTGCTGCTGCTGCAGCTCAGCTGTGCGCATTGCAATTACGCCTGGAGGCACTCCTGCTGCTAGAAGTGTGTCCACTGATATTTCCATTTCTAAAAAAGCAGCAAAACAAAATAAACAAACTAAAGTCTAATTAAAAATAAAAGCAAACACTAAAAGCAAAAACGATAAAGTACAACAGCAGCAAAATGAGGCTCCCAAAGCAGCTCCAAGAAACACATTATGCCTTCCCAAGGGGCCCCCCAGGGGTCCCCCAGGGGCCCCCCAGGGGCCCCCCAGGGGCCCCCCAGGGGCCCCCCAGGAACCCCCCAGGGGACCCCCAGGGGCCCATCAGGGGACCCCCAGGGGCCCCCCAGAAGCCCCCCAGGGCCCCCCATTCTCCTCAAAGGGTCCACAGGGCCCCACAGGGAGTTCCTGTGGCCATCTTGGAGGTTTCTCATGGGATAAGTGTGGGGCCCCTGGGGGGCTCCACAGTTTGGGGCTCCACAGAGGCCCCTAGGGGGCCCCTAAGGGGACCCTAGAGGGATCCTGGGGGGCCCCTAGGGGGCCCCTCCCTTATGGAGCCCCCAAGAGGCCCCATTGAAGGTCCTTTTGTCTTTATGTGAGCTTCCTATAGGGTTTCTAGAACCTGTGGGGCCCCTGGGGGGCCCCTGTAGGGCCCCCGGGGGGCACCTGTGGGGCCCCTGTGGGGCCCCTGTGGGTCCCCTGGGGGGCCCCTGTGGGACCCCTGGGGGGCCCCTGGGGTCCAACAGGGGCCCCTAAGGAGTCCCTGAGGGGCCCTTGGGGGGCTCCTGGGGAGCCCCTATGGAGTTCCTGAGGAGCCCCTGAAGGGGCCCCTGGGGGGCCCCTGGGGGGCCCCTGGGAGGCCCCTGGGTGGCCCCGGAGGGGCCTTTGGCGGGCCCCCGGGAGGCCCCTGGGTGGCCCCTGAGGGGCCCCTGGGGGGCCCCTGGGGGGCCCCTGGGAGGCCCCACATGCGTGTTGATGCTGGAGGCACGAAGGGTCTTTGCAGGTCCGTTTGTTTTGAAAGGCAAGCCCGTGCATTAGGGTTTAGGGTTTAGGGTTTAGGGTTTATGTCTCACGGGGGGCGTGTTGCTGCGCCTGTAGACATGCTGCTGCTGCTTGGCTTTCTTGTTCGAGGAGGCGCAGCAGACTTTCCTGAGGTGTACGTACACCCGAAAGTGTGGGGTCCAGTTTGTGAAAATGAATTTAAATTAATTTTAAATGACATTTAAATAAATTTAATTAATTAAATGGCAATTCAAGTGCTTGAGGCGCTTGCGGAATGTATAGCTAGCTAGAGCGTTGCTGCTGCTGCTGCTGCTGCTGCTGCTGCGGCTGCTGCTCCG